CTGTACCTTATAATTGTTAAATGACTTACCGGGGCAAATTGGTTCGGGTCCGATGAGATTTTTAAAATAAATTGGAACACATAGTTCCAAAGTTTAAAATTTAAGTTAAAAAGGTAGGCTGGATATAGACCTATGTGTAAACGACCCCGAAATAAAATTTTAATGATTCCAATAGCTCCGCATGGTGATTTTGGACTTAGGAGCACGTCCGAAAAATTATTTGGAGGCTCGTAGTTAAATTTGGCTTGAAATGGCTAAAATAGGAATTTAAGTTTGGAAGTTTGACCGGGGAGTTGACTTTTTGATATCGGGGTCGAAATCCAGTTCCAAAATTTTTTATAGCTCCGTTATATTATTTACGAATTGCGTGCAAAATTTAAGGTCAATCGGACTTGATTGATAGGATCTGGCGTCGTTTGTAGAAATTGAAATTTTCAGAGTCCATTAGACTTTAATCTATGTGTGATTCGTGTTTTTAGTGTTGTTGGATGTGATTTGAAGACTCGACTAAGTCCGTATGATGTTTTAGGATTTGTTGGTATATTTGATTGAGGTCACGAGGGGCTCGGGCGTGTTTCGGATGGTATTCAGAGTATTTTTCTTCATTTTGGCACTGCTGGTAGCTGCTGATTTCTGGTATTTTAAGCCTTCTTCGCTATCGCATATGCTTAGTTGAGGCAGTGTTGATTTTGTTCTTCGCGGTCGCGTGAGGTCAACCACGATCGCGTAGGTTGGGCCAGTCTGTGCATCGTGATCGCGTGGCATTGTTTGCGATCGCGTAAGGGTGATTGAGAGCTGCTGAGTTTTGTGCTTCGCGATCGCGTGAAGTGGAATGCGACCACGTAGCTTTGAGATTTTGTGACTCGCGAACGTGTGAAGAAGGTCGCTTTCGCGTAGAGTAACGTAGCAGAAGTGGAGGTCACGCGTTTGTATAAGTGGTGTTTATATACACTTATACAGTATTGTATAGTTATGTATAATTGTGTGCAAATATGTATATTCCTGTATAATGTTGTATAATTATATATTTTTTCAGTTTATAATAGGACTCGGCATATATCGGTAAAATCGATACCCCGAACTGAAAAAAGCTTATTGGGTTATCGGTATCGGATTATTGGGTTAACAGTTCGATAATGGTTTAGTGTTATTTTTCTATTGGGTTATCGGTTTGGGTATCGGTTTGTCCAATTTTATAAACGGTGTAACCGATAACCCAATAAACTTTATAAAGATATGATTTTATCTTTAGGTATATAAATTTTTCAGTTCTCCCAATTCTCTTTCTATTATTGTAACCCTCCCAAATTTGTCATTCAACACATAAAGAAATAATATTGTAAGGTTTATCATATTCTTTGAGAGGGTTTACAATAGTAGAGAAAGTTTATCATATTCTTTATACGGTATACATTATCCTTCATTAGTTCTTCCCTCTAGAATTTAGATTGAGTTATCTTACGGGTAAATCGATAAAGATCGATAATCCATTAACCAATAACCGATATCTTATCGGTTCGGTTATCAGTTTAGCATATTTATAAACCGATAATCGATATGCCAAACCGATAACATTCACAACCGACCGATTCCCACCCCTAGTTTATAAGGATGTATATACATTGTTAGTGTATAAGTGTCACGACCCAAAATCTCACATGTCGTGATGGCGCCTATCTCAATACTAGGCAAGCCGACAATATCAATAAATCACCATATCTTTTAAATTTGAAAACATAATAATTAAATTAAGCGGAAGAAACCTCACAAATACAAATATAACTCCGGTGTCACTGAGTATATGAGCATATAATATGAATACAATGTCTGACTGATAAAAATAAAAATCACTGTCTAAAAGTATAGAACAGTACAATAACTGAAGGAAAGAGAGACAAGGTCAACGGACGCCAAGCAACTACCCTGATAGTCTCCAACTAGTAACATACTGAGGTCTAACAGTCGCCGTATCCGGAAGCACCTGGATCTGAACACAAGGTGCAGAGTGTAGTATGAGTACAACCAACTCAATAAGTAACAAGACTAACCTCTGGGCTGAAAGTAGTGACGAGCTCCGCAGGTACAGTCCAGTATAAATAATGGTACAAAAATGTAGGCATGCTTTCAAGTTCAACAGTTAAACTCAGTACAAGTGAAATAGATCAATACTGCATGATATGAGGAATGTGACATCTCAGTAGAAAGACCTTATGTAAATACTGGTCACAAATTATCCGGTCACTCGGTACTATTTATGGCCAATCCAGCCTAGGGGTGTTCCAACCTGTATATAAATACACATTGACTGACGGTCAGTCACCCAATACCGTATAAGGCCAATCCAGCTCTGGGATAATTTTATCCCCAAATATAACTGATACAGACAAGATCCATGTCCAGGGAAACTCATTACAATACAAATAAGTAAGGCAAGTCCATACCCTGAGAAATCCATCTCGAATATATATAATTATCTACGCTCACTGGGGGTGTACAGACTCCGGAGGGGCTCCTTCAGCCCAAGCGTAATATAAATCCAATATGGCCTACTGCAGGCGGGCCGTCCCGATCCGTATAATAATAAAGCCTATAAGGCCTGCTGCAGGCGGGCAGTCCCGATCCATAAAATAGTAAAGCCTATAAGGCCTGCTGCAGGCGGGCAACCCCGATCCATATAATAATAATGTATAAAGCCATTATGGCCTGCTGCGTCGCGCAGCTCGATCCCATAAATATCCTCACAATGGACAAATATTACTGAGTGTGAAATGTATATTTTTGAACAATTAATTCAACAGCAACACGATCCCATGGGTCCCAAAATATTGACACGTATCCTAAACATGATCTTTAATATGAGTCTCAACTCAATTTCTCTAACACATGGAGAATGTTCAACTAATAACATGATTCATTAATCTTACAACTGCACAGGATTTATTCAATACACAATTTATATGGTGCACGTCCACATGCTCGTCACCTACCGTGTGTGTCACCTCCGAACAATTTATATCATACCAAATTTGGGGATCCATACCCTCAGAACCAAGTTTAGAAGTGTTACTTACCTCAAACCATGTAATTCTTTACTCCGTTATGTCTTTGGCTCGTGAATTGACCTCCAAACGCCTCGAATCTAGCCACAATTAATTCGATTCAGCCAATAAAATTTATTAAAATTAATTCCATAAGAAAATACTAATTTTCTATCAAAATCCGAAATTTAGCTAAAAAATTGCCCGTGGGGCCCATGTCTCGGAACCCGATAATTTTACCAACCACGAGTCTAACCACACTAATTTTACCAAAATCCGACCTCAACTCGGCCTCCAAATCTTCAAATCTTATTTTTAAATCCCTAAGTTCAAACCCCTGATTTACACCTCAAAAATATGTAATCTAGTCGGATTATTCGATGATAATTCAATATTATAGAGTAGAAATGATCACAAGGGACTTACCTCAAGTTTTCCCATGAAAACTTTGCTCAAAAATCGCCAAACCCGAGCTTGAAATGCCCAAAAATGGCAAAAGCGCGGAACCCCTCTGTTTTTGTATTGCTCGGGGTTTTCGCACCCGCGGTAAAACTCTCGCGCCCGCGATGTTCGCGCATGCGATGATTTCTTCGCGCCTGCGATGATTTCTTCGTGCATGCGGTCTTCGCACCCGCGGTAAAATGTTTCGCACCCGCGGTGCCTGGCCAGCCCATGCATTTCCGCTTCTGCGACTAATACCTCGCATTCGCGAGCTCGCACCTGCGGCCCTTTTTCACACAAGTGCGATCATACCAGATGTCCAGCTGCTTCAGCTCCTCCTCCAAATCCAAATTCGATTCGTTAAGCATCCGAACTCACCTGAGGCCCCCCATGACCTCAACCAAATATACCAACAAGTCCTAAAACATTATACGAATTTAGTCGAGCCTTCAAATCACATCCAACAACACTAAAAACACGAATCACACATAGATTCAAGCCCAATGAACTTTGAAACTTCCAATTTCTACAAACGACGCCGGAACCTATCAAATCACGTCCGATTGACCTCAAATTTTGCACACAAGTCACAATTGACATAACAGAGGTATTTCAATTTTCAGAATCAGATTCCGACCCCGATATAAAAAAGTCAACCCCCCGGTCAAACTTTTCGAAAATTCGACTTTCGCCATTTAAAGCCTAATTTCACTACGGACCCCCAAATAATTTTTCGGACACGCTCCTAAGTCCAAAATCACCATACAGAGATATTGGAATCATCAGAATTCAAATTCGAGGTCGTTTACACATAAGTCGACATCCGGTCAACTTTTCCAACTTAAGCTTTCCATTAAGAGACTAAGTGTCTCAATTTATTCTGAAATCTCTCCGGACCCGAACCAATTACCCCGGCAAGATATACAACAACAATAAAGTATAAATTGAGCGATAAATGGGGGAACGGGCTTGTAATACTCAAAACGACCGTCCGGGTTGTTATAATAAGAAGCCTCTATGGAAGTATCAAATTATAAGGTCTAAAAATGAATTTCGCTTGAATTTTTTGTTGTTGTTGTTGTTGTTGTAAATGCTGAATATTTGAAAAGAAAAATATCATTATTCATTCCCAAATCAATATTTCAAATACTAGTGACCATATTAATATTTTCAAATATTAAAACTTAATATTAAAAATATCAAAAATATTTAATATCCGAACTTTGACAAATTATAAGTAAGAGTAAGAAGAAAAAGAACAAATTATAAGAGGCGGTAAAAGAACTTAGGAACAAAGAGATTACCTCGTTTCTCTCACCAAAACAACACAATCCGAACACTATCACAAAACAATCGTTCTCCACCTTAGATTTCTATTTAATCAGCGACTGATATACAATATCTGCCTTTCACACGGATCGACACTCTTATCCGTCGATCTTCTCTTTAAAACTCCAAAACATTAACGGCCACGATTCAAAGCTCTCCACAAACCCCAACAACTACCAGCTATATATAACTCGCGCCCCTTTCATCAAAAACATATCTCTCTCATACCAAGTTCCAAAAAAATACCTAAAATCTCCTTCCAGTTTTTCATCAATTTATCAAAAAAATGTCAGGAAGAGGAAAGGGAGGAAAAGGATTGGGAAAGGGAGGAGCAAAGAGGCACAGAAAAGTATTAAGAGACAACATTCAGGGAATCACTAAGCCTGCAATTCGGCGTTTGGCTCGTAGGGGAGGGGTGAAGCGCATTTCTGGTTTGATTTACGAGGAGACTCGTGGAGTGTTGAAGATATTTTTGGAGAATGTGATTCGTGATGCTGTGACTTACACTGAACACGCTAGGAGGAAGACTGTCACTGCCATGGATGTTGTTTACGCACTCAAGAGGCAGGGTAGGACCCTTTACGGATTTGGGGGTTAGATTTGTGAAGTTAGGCTTGTTCTTTTGTTGCCGTTTGTGGATTAGAATTGCTTAGTTTTGTTGAGCTTGATAGATGTAATTTCCGTTATATATTCAAGAAATAGTAATTGCCGAAGAATTGCTTAGTTCTCATTTCTGATCTCCACATTGTTTGCTTTAATTTTACCTTTCAATTTCCCTTTGTTGGCAAGTATGGCTAAAGATCAGTGGGGTATGTCAGCAGTAATGTTTTCTCTTAATCGCTATTTCACATTAAGAGGGTTTATTTGAACATCTGGTAATTTATATTTCACATTAAGAGTGATTATTTGAACATTATCTGATTGTGTTATGAAGATTATTAGTGTGGACGTTGATTTTGCAGTTATGATTCAAACTTTGGATGGATATTAGAGTCAAATTTGATTTGCTCTAAATCAGTTGAATCATCATTTGTTATGTGTATTCAGTTATTCTTGATGGATGTAACTTCAATGAGATTTAGTGAGATATTTATTCAACTTATTGAATAATCATTGTAGGATTATATTGGGTATATTATTGAATAATCATCTAAAGGGAAGACGCAGGAGATAGGGAAATTGTTGGTGTTTAGTTTTTGTTATATTGACTAAGGTTTATACTCTAGAATAGTAAGATGTCGCTGCTTTGTGTATATTACTTCGATTCATCTTAGCTTGAATTTGGTAATTCTCTTATGCTTAACTTTTGAATTGAGTCCTAGTGCTTCATTATAAGAGATGCTTGTTTAATCAAAATTCTTAAAATTTTTGTGTGGCCTGAACTGAACACTGTAGTGTTCTTATGATCCCCTGTAGTCTTCAGTTTACTTTGTTAGGTCTCCGTAAAAAAGAGCTACGTCTGAGTTAAACTAACCTGGGGATGTATGGATCTGGTTCTGACTGGGTAGACATGCAGTACATTGTCTATGTATGTCTTGTTTTCATTCTTAAATGAATGATTTTGCGATAGAAAACCAAATGTTAAGGGTGATGGAGTAAGCTTTTATCCAACCTGCTAGAGTTGATTTTGTTTTCAATCTACATATTTAGGCAATTATCTACCAGTGGAGTGTGGACTGAGACTGCTCAGCTTTGCCATCCAATAAAGACTTAAACACTTAACAAGAGATTTTACGTTATTTATTAGACTTTACTTCATCGGTTATCCGTCTCATCTTTACGCAATGGCCATACTAATTCTCTGCTTATGGTTTCAGTTTTAACAGATTTCCCCTAAGGGACATAGGCTAACGTTAAATGAAAAGATAGGGCATAGTTCTTTCTACTTTTTTTTCTTGGTCTGAAGCGCTTTCTACTTTACCAGACCAGACCGTGAAGTTTGGTATCCTTATTACTATCACATATGAGCTCCTTTGAGCTACTTTTTAATTACTTCTAGACACAAAAGTTTTAAAAATATGGTGAATGAAAACTGATTTATCTGACAGTTCATCACTAGTTGCTTATTTGCAAAACAAACTCCGGATAGAATTCTTGGTGAATGAAAGATTGTGCATCTGTTGTTTTTGTGATATGAATTTTAAGATTAACTTAGTTTTGGGATCATATTATTGGTAGTGGAAATTTATACGTATTAAAATGATATTAGTTGACAGGTTAGTTTAAAATTAAAACATTATCTAAGTTTTAGAAGTCAATGTGTTTTTGCTATTAGAAATTGTGAAAGTTGAACAATATAATAATCCATAAAGTTTGTTTTGACCGAATAGCGCAAATGACACTTGTACTTGCATCAATTTGACATTCCACCCCTCAACTCAATGAAATTTATTAAGACACTTGAACCTGTTTAAAACATGATTTTTCAACGCCTATTGTTGATCAAGCTTATTTGATGTTTACTTTGCTGAGTCGGACAAAGTAAAGTTTTTGAAGGTGGTGATTATGGGTTCTGGCCAAGTAAAGTTTTTGGTTGAAAACGGTAATTATAGAAAAAGAAAATGGGTTAACTTTGTGATAATTTATTTTTAACAAAATAATTTTATGAAGATATATAATGACGTGGCATATGTTTTTCTAACATGGAGCTTTAACTGTTGCGGATTGGCAATTGAGTAACACACAGGACTAGAGGCGTTTAAAACACCTATTTTGCCGTTCCAGGAGTTTGGATGAAATCTCGAATTAAGGTGACATTATGTCAATTCATGCAAGTACAAGTGTCAAAAACAGGTAGATAATTTAAATTCTCAAGTTCTATTCTATATAGCATTATTTTTTAAAAATAAAATATATATAAAAATTAAAAACCACACGTTATAAAAGTCTCAATTTTATTTCTTTAACTCCTATTCTCACTTAATTGAAACACAATCCGCACACTATCACAAAAGAATCACTTCCCACCTTCGATCTCCATTTAATCAACGGTTTACATACTATCTCCCCTTCCACACGGATCGATACCCGTAACCGTCGATCATCACTTTCAACTCCAAAACATCAACGGCCACGATTCAACTTTTCCACAACCCCAATAACAACCATCTATATATAAAGCCCGACTCCTTACGCTCTTTTCAAATCAACCGTATTTCTTCTCAATTCAAATTCAAAAATCCCCAAAATCTAGTTTCAAAATGTCAGGAAGAGGAAAGGGAGGAAAAGGATTGGGCAAAGGAGGAGCTAAACGACACCGTAAGGTGCTCCGTGATAACATCCAGGGAATCACTAAGCCTGCAATTCGGCGTTTGGCTCGTAGAGGAGGAGTGAAACGTATTTCTGGTTTGATTTACGAGGAGACACGAGGGGTTTTGAAGATATTTTTGGAGAATGTGATTCGTGATGCTGTGACTTACACTGAGCACGCTAGGAGAAAGACTGTTACTGCTATGGATGTTGTTTATGCGCTCAAGAGACAGGGCAGGACTCTCTACGGATTTGGGGGTTAGATTTGTCAAATTAGGGTTTTGTGGGGGTAGTGATTGTAGATTTGTTCTTTAGTTTCTGATGTGGATTAGGGTTGGTTAGTTTTTGTTGATCTTTGATAATGTAATTCTCCATTACATATTCAAGGACTAGTAATTGCCCAAAAGAATCTCATTACTCATATCTTGTTTTCTACATTATTTACCCTATTTTCTTTAATTTTGCTTTTAGGGCTAGCAGGTCTAGCTAATTATTACGTTTGTTATATTATGATAATTAATGTTTACTAATAATTTAGTCATTTCAATTTCTGGGCATCTGATAGTAAGAAGGTATTATCCCATTAATATATTGTAGGTCATACATAAACCTATAATTTATTTTCTTGTAAAGAAGTGAAGAGATACGGTTTCCGACCTATCTTGAACAAATTTCTATAGTTAAATTTTGAAATCGAACAAAATAACAAAATTTTTGCTAGTTCAAAATATTCCATAAATTTAATTGAATAAATTAATCGAATAGAAATAACGAGAACTTACTAAATCAATCGTATAAAGGCAAACTCCATGATTTATAATTCCTTCTAAAAATTAAGCCAATTTTTAGTTCTTTGTGTTGATTGGACATAATGCTATCCAATGTTTTGGTTTTCAAGTCTTTTTCTTTAACTGTCTTTTATATATTGTTGGCAAGTAAAATGAGAGAAGCGGTCATAATTTACAAGTAAATGTTATCATTTTTCTGAATGTGCAAAAAAAAAAAAAAAAAAATTAAATAA